GATTTCCGCTTTCGAGATCACGAATATTTATACCATCATTCAGGCAATAACGGGCTTATGTTAAACTAGATTTTACCCGCAGCTTTGCCTGCGTTAAGTTCGGTTTAACGTTATGATTTCAAATGTATTAAAAAATAAAATAAAAATCACTGAAAAATAAGTTTTTTTTTACTGTCTCGAGCTTCCAGAAAATGAATGAATGAAAAAAACAACCCTGCAAACCATTTTATCAGAGTATTCTGAATCGTAAAAAATTTTTAAAGAATTCGGAAAGATACCATCCGATTTGTTGCCGAATTTTCTAAAATGAAATAAATTACGCACACTTCCATTCTTCTACGAAATTTCGGAAGAAAATCGGTAAAGAAATGAAAATAATGCTGCTATGTGAAGAATTTCTTGCAGACTTTTTTCAGAATTTTCTTTATTTTTCGTACAGAAATTTCTTCACGAGTTCGTGTCAACCACTTCATATAATTTTCTTTGAAGATTCGGAAAAAAATCGTTACAGAAATCAGATACTCCTAAAGATTTCGTTAAGATTTCGGGAACTTTGGTTTGCAGGGAACTTACATTTCGTAGCTGCATACATATGTAAAATATATAAATTTTTTTAAATTATTTTTATAGGGTGCATTCTCTTAAAAAATCGTTACAGAAATGAGATACTCCTAACGATTTCCTTAAGATTTCGGGAACTTTGGTTTGCAGGGGAAAGACCAACAAACATACTCACACTCTCACAAAAAAAACTTTCACCTTTATAATAATAGTAAGATTTCCTTTAGCTTCTTAATAAAATTCCTAAACTGGTGCCAACCCTAGTCAAAATTATTTTCCAAATAGATGCAGCTTTCGTATAACTTCTCATGTTTGACATCCACATTGAAATATTTGATTTAAGTTTTAAATTTTGAATTTCTAAACAGGTGGCAACACCCTTTAAAAATATTTCGTTGAACTTGTTAGTTGAAACGACTTTAACAACAGGTGGCAGCCCCCTTTCAAAATTATTTTTGAAAGAAATCATTTTTAAAGTCCTTAGTTTGCTGTCCACATTGTTGTTATACTTTACTTAACGTATTAATTAACTGATTTTAACTTAATAAACAGGTGGCAACCGCCTCGAAATGTATTTTTGAAATAAATCGTTTTTGAACCCCTTTTTCGTTGACAACCCCGTTTGTTTTAATATTTTATTTAGCTTGTTAGTTGATTGATTTAACTTTTGGAAGTGTGGCAACTCTGTAGTTAGCTAGTTAGGCTAGTTTTTCTAAAGTAAATGTTTTTACTAGATATCCTATAAAGTCCCTGAAATTCGTGATCTAAAAAAATATTTCGGGACTAAATACATAAACGAAACCACATCGTCATATAAAACCACAGAATTTCGGGATTCACGATTTTTCCGGGCTTGTATGCACTAGCATGACAGCTGGGGTGCTATTTTCAATACTTAGGAAAATGCTAATTTGTCTTAAGGTAAAAGTCAAGACGCTGCTCTTCGCACTTGTGTACACCTCATTTCTGCGGCAATGCAATTGTGGTTGTTAGTGTTGATATTGTTGTTGCTTCTGGTGTGATTAAATTATGCAGTGAATGCCGTGATAAGCAGGAATCTTTCGCTGCAGAGTTTGTATGAATGACGAAGGGTCATTTCGTAGCGTCTTAGGAATTTATTTATTCTTGCTGATTTTAATCAGTGACGCTGTTGCAAGCAATTTAGTAGGTTTTTTTTTTTTTTTTTGCTGTTGTTGTCGCACTTATTACGGCTGTTGTTATTATTTTTGATAATTATGTATGTATCTACATATATGTTACTGCATAGACTTTTGGATGACGACTTCACCACTTTGTTGAACTTCTTCATGGGAAATGGGTTTTCGAGTACATGAAATCACATTATGCATAACAACAAAAAGAAAAACAACAATAATGTCGTAAAATAGCTTCAACTGCTCTTAATGCAGCCACATACACATTCATCTATATTAGTTAGTTGGCAAACTTCTTACTCAGTAGCAGGGTGAATGCCACCATAGCCGTTTTCTTCTTGAGATTTTGTGCATCTTATAATTTTTGTTGTTTTGAAGGCTCTATGTTGCATGCAACCTAATATAACTACTGCGCCGTCTGGTCACAGTTAATGATATGCAACAAAGCAGCAGTGAGCTTTTGGCTTACTAGTATCACCTCCCTGTTATGTTTCCTCTACCATATTTGTTTAGTAGAAATTTAATTCTTCATTAATATATATTTTCTCAAGAGCATTTAGAGCATGGGAATTCTAATTGGAAAATATTAAGTTCTTTAAAGTTCAAGTTTGAGTTTCTTCGAATTTGTTTTAAACCCGATATGCACTAGTGCACATATCTTGATTCATACGCCGGTTATTTGAAGTAGATAAAGACAGAAAAGGTACTTATTGAGTTTTATAAGCGTGAGTCTGACTCGCGAGTCGGTTTGGATGTGTTACTGAAAATACCTAAATAAGTACATACATATGTGATAGTTGCACCGACATGACTCTGGCTGGCTCTGAATGACTCAGCTGTGTGCAGTCGAAAGGCGAGCCAACACGTACACAGATGACTCGCGAGTCATACGCACCCACTATGGCGCCTATAAGGCCCTGCAATGAAAATATAGGAAACAGCGGATAAGCTTGGGCAGTAAATTCTACTCTCAAAATTTTCTAGACTCTTCGGTCTCTTGGATCTGAGAAGCTTTTCATGGCAATATAATGCATATAACTTAAACACCAGCGTTGCGTAATTTAAAATCCTTTTTTATTTTAATTCCGGCATGAATTAAGAAATCTATTTGATTCGTCGTACAAATAAAAAATAAAATTTATTTATGATTTCAAACGTCATTGCCGTGTGGTCTGCTTCTGAACAGATGGGCGTTTAGTCAGCTCAGCGAGCGCTGGGCGAAGACCTTGGAATGCAAGTTGGCAAAATCCCTCAGGGCACGTGTAGACCGGAGGCGGCCTGGGGAGCGCCTGAGACTAAGCAAGTTACGTCTCTCACAATTCGGGGGAGTGCTAAATTGTCATTGCGTGATAAGTAAACATGCCGTAAGGCTGAATATTATCGTTGACCCTTACTACAACAAAATATTTGAAAACATTAAAGTTTTTGTTTTAAAAGGACGAATAAGTATAGAAATTGCGCTTTTAATTAATTTAATTTTTTTTAAGTTAACAAAGTAAGGACGAAATTCAAGGAGGTGGTCGTATGTAGATTAGTCCTTAATATATTACTTTTTCAAAAATAAATATTGCAAATTTTCAAAGGTTTTCAAGGATAAAATTTTTAAATGAAATTTTCCATATCCATTCGTCCTTATGCACCAAACAATTAAATAGTTTTTAATTTTACAGGGTTTTCTCTTTCATTTGATAACAACATTGCATTGCAATTTTTTAATGATTGGTCAGGAATTAAAAATCAATTGAATAACAAGTTAAATTAAATATTTTAGTATGGATGCCAAACGAGTGAGGTTTAAAAAAAGTTTATTTCAAAAGTGTTCTTGAAGACGGCTGCCACCTGTTTAGAAATTTTATTAATGCAATATTGTAATACCGGTGTCCAACGAGTGGGACTGAAGAACGGTCTAACCGTAAACATTTTATGTAATAAATCAAAATCAATTTAATTGACAAATTAAATATTTTAATACGCTTGTCAGACGAAAGAGATTTAAGCAAAGTTGATTTCAAAAAATATACCAGATTGGTGGCAATGGCTTTTTGCGCGCATTCTCCAGTCTATACCCAACTGCGCTACGAAATTTGATATGTCTGCACTGAAGTACCACTTACCTGCCGACGCCGTCAAAATAAATCGTAGTATTGAAAATTAATTTTCCCGAACTCACCGAGAGCGAAAAATCTCTTCCTAAATGCATGATTTGCCGATTTCTAGGCTACTACGGTGTCTAAGGTAGACGATAAAGCGGCGAGGGAATACTCAGTATCTGGTCTGCTAGGACCAGAACCATTTTAGTGGTAGAGGTTATCTTTTGCAATCGAGGGCATTAATCTCCTATGAACAGCTGATATCGGTTGCCCAATGAGTATTGATAATAACGGCTAGAGTTATCATATCGACCGGATTGATCTATTCATAGAGATGACGTAAGAAATTTGACTGTCCGTCGATGGCTAGAGGAGCATAAAGAATTCGTCTACAAAGACACGTTTAGCATTCATTTGGGAAACTGACAGGATCTTGTGATTTTAGTGTTGGGGATTTCATCATTGGGATAAATAGGATTAATTAAATCAAGGAGGTAGGCATACGCCGCTTTTGTTGATGTCAGTGCTTCTCCAAACAAGTACTATGTGCATTGGCGACACAGCAGTGAATATAAGATCGACTAGTCTGCTGAGAGTGCTCGGCAAAAGCTCTCACTTCGGCTATCGGGGCCATCTCCTCGCCACCAGGCAGGTATTGTCTCTTGAATACTCATGGGAGTTGAAATTTCGGGCCAAACCTCAACCAGTTATACCGTGCTTAATAAATAACATCGGCGCTCTTGAGCGAGTGAATAGAATATTGTTGGAAACTAAGAGCATATCAACGATATACGCCTTTCGATGATGTTATTTGCGTTACACGAAACCAGATGACCCATTCGCCTTTATGTGTCAATTTGATATTTCCACAAAATGAACCAAATCTCCTTGATAACTTAAGTAAATAAAAAATCTCCAATTTCAGTTTTTAATTAAATGTTTCTTTATTCCGAACTAATGTACGTCTAATCTATTTGTTTAAATCATTTAAGTAAATTCCTAATAGCCTGAACAGCCACAGACTCGTATGCTGTTTTGTGTGTGTTTACGAAGAAACTTTTTAATTAAGTTGCCGCTACTCTAAGCAAACTTTATGTTTTATTTACAGGTAAACCTGAAAGTATAAAATTTGCATAAATATTTTAATAAAAATATAGTACAAAAGTCAACTTTAGTTAATCAAATAAAATAAGTTTCAAACAATACTCATTTTGCTTCCTGCGCGTTTTGATGCGCGTTTCATATCTTTTTGTTTGGAAACTACTAAACTTTTCGCAAGCTCAAAAATTGAATCTTTATGTGCATGCTCAGCAAGTGCATTTGTTGCGAATACATAAATAAGTGCATAGTACAAAAGAGAGTGCAAGTTGATCAAAAGTTATAGTAGCATAACAAAATTCTCACTTACCATTAGCTGATTGATATAGAACTCGTAGGGTATATTACCGGTAAGGGGATCAATGGCTACGGCAAGCATTTCATCGAGTTCTTCCTGTGTGAACGGTTCACCTTCCTCCATCATCATCTTACTCATATACTCTTTGGTTATGTAGCTCTTTTGCTCTGGATCCAAGACTTGAAAGGCAGCTAAGATTTTTTCAGGTGACGCTGGTTCCATTCTAGACGAAAGAGACAAGAAAGAAACGCGAAAGTAGCGAAAGCACAACTCACACATTTCAACTTGAGCTACGCTTCTCTTCTACCCTCTTCTTCACCCAATACGCACTTGCGTTCAGCTAACAATTGCGCCACATGCGGCATAAATTTGGAGAGATGTACATCGCCTGCAGATTCCTCCATTTCGGTTGCTGCTATGACTTCATTGATTTCCTGCTCGGTAGGCACGCAGCCAAGGAAGCGCAACACTGTGCCCACTTCGCGTATATCGATGCGTTTATCGCCGTGGTGATCGAATATGCAAAAGGCATCGGATATGCGTTGCTCCAATTCATTGTTGATGGCAACTGTGATGGGAACGTGCTTGTTATTGAAGTACAAAATGCGAGATGCAATTGCACCACTTACTTGCAGTCTCCATGATTTTGGCGAAGCTCTAAGTGTATCGGGAAGATTATAATTTGGCGACACAAACAATTTGGTTGCAGTTGCTATGGCTAGTTATTATTTATTATTTTATTTTTTGCACTTAATAAAAGCTGTTTTACAACTTTTTCACTTTCCACAAGTTTTTCGCATTACAATTTCTTTGACATTTTTAATTTTGATTGTAAATTTGTTTATTTTGTGTTTCCTGGACAACAGTGATAGCGAGGGTAAGGAATCGAAATCCGAGCGTATTAATCGAAATAAGTTTAGGTAATTACATGTGTGATCTTTTTAATGTCGATAAAATTGAGAAACTCGAGGCCCGAACGCTTTTTTTTTTAAAGAAATTTAAAAACTTTAGTAAAGTTTTTGAGATTTTTTATTATATTTGTCATAGTTAAAGGGAATACCCATATTACTTTTTACGAGTCGTTATATATACTATGTTTAAAAATACAACCAAAAACACAAATGTTAATTACAACGCTATCGAAAATACTAAAGTAACAGGGGATAACGAAAAAAAATCTATATCAATTAAAATCGATAACTATAAAACACGATAACAATAAAACAATCGATAACTATTCGACAACTTTGAGCGATAACAAGATAGGCGGCGATAACGATAGCAACTTCGATTACAATTTGTATACAAATATTGATGAAAATTATGTTTAAAATGCTGAGTACGATAAATAAAAATTAGCACAGTTCTGGAAGCTTTCCCCTGCTCCTTAATTTTTTTAGTTCTTTGCTTCAAAATTTCAAAACTTTCTTTTTGCAGAGACAGAATACCAGATATTTATGAATTTCATTCACGAACTGTGTTAATTTGGTGTGTCTGCTAATTTTCGAAATTTTTAATTACATATTAGCTTGCTTTCGAATTGACGGGCTGTTATGAAAAATACTACGAAACAAAAATTTATTGGACGGACTTCAAAAAATGTAAGCGTTCTAAATCATTACATTTTATAGTATTTGAATTGCCATTTTAGGTCATAATTTTTCTGGCCAAAATTTTCAAACACTACAGGTTGCATAACATCCAGTCTAGCGCGTCGTCGCTGGCCATCGTAAGAAAAAAAAAGCCGTAATATGGCCTAAATATCATATAAAAATCTTTCTAAAATGAGACCAAATTAATTATATAATTCACTAATATAGTTTCGGCTGTTGAACTCTTCTTGAATAAACGACAAAATGGCAACACAAATTAATTTTCCCACAAACTTCAAATCTACACACACTGCAATAAATACCAGGCGCTCATATACATATGTGTATTATGTATATACATATAATCGCACTTATGTTCGTGCGTGTGACTTTGTTCTTGCCCTGTGACGAAACGCACTTGTTCCGAATTGGATCGGTACTAGAGAAGTTAGAGCCAAGACTAGTGCGCGTTAATTCTATCTTTTGAATGCTAGCAACTGGCGAATTTAACAATGCGATGTCCTAAGAAGAGTCAATTGCCTCCGCTGCAAAAAAAAAGTAACATGATTTTTTCAGAGTCTTTTTAGTTTTCCCATGGACGCGATTTTAATTTATTTTCAAAGAAATGTGTTTCCAATTTGAAATCAAATTTGTTCGAAAGAATGTATGCAATTCAAACTGAGCATTTGAAAACACGTTTAATACCTTTGACTGTGGCTGAGTGTGCACAGATGCTTGCTTTTACTGGTTGTTTTAATACAAACTATGAAGAAGCATCTGTGAAGTGCAGAATGAAAGAGTATTTGAATGAAATATGCGCTAAACAAATATTAATTTGAAATATACAAGCCCCCACTGCATTATTTTTTCGATAGTTCCGATTTAGTTCTAAATTCCTCACATTCCATAGAGATTTCTGATGAAACATTTTTTGTTCTGTGGGACTTAAAATATTTTCTGTGACTGTTTTGTTCGAACTTTTAGAAAAGGATGCATTTCTAATTTTTCTTTTGTCCTTGCATTAAAATATAATTTTGTAGAAAAAGGGGACATATGTAGCAGCTACTTTCACCCTTTCCAAGCTATATGTTGATTTAAAAACTGAAATTAAATAGTTTCTTAAAATTACCACATTTCGCTGCTTTTGAATTGGCAGGGATCTAGTTACTATCAGACTAGGTCGTTATTGGTGATAAAGATCTAGTACGGAACTAGAAATTTGTTTCACTAGTTCAGAGTTTCCCTGCTGGGTAATGTATGTTCATACGTATGTATGTATGTATGTGCAGTACGCCATGCTCCAACCAACCTCCATCGCTGTGCTCCACTTCACAGTTATGTTGAGTGTGTGAGTGAGTAGCTTACTTGCAATGCAGCTGTTTTGATTGGCCAACACTTTGTTGCGGGTAACCAATGAGCAAACAGCTTTGTGCTATACAAATGCTACATATTATGCCACTAGCCATTGTGAGTAAGAGCTAGTCAAGTTATTGAATCATGGTCAAGTTGTATTTGCAGTGCGAACATGCCAGGGTAGTTTGATAAGTCAGTGACTTTTTATACTTCCCTTGTAGTTACTTTAGTTCGTTTTATGCTAGAGACACACATCAAATTAAGGCATATTGAACAGGTAGTTGCAGTATAGCAGCTGTTGTGTTTTTTTTTTTTAATTTATTAAGGTTATGTTAGGTACTAGCAAGGCATAACAAGGTAGAAGTGATTTCGACATTTCTCTCTTTTGAACTGCGACTGTAATGTCAACTCTTAACCCTATAGAATTCAAAATTTTAATTTTTTAATTTCAATTTTCAATTTTGAGCTGTGCGACTGATTTTAAATACATACATACAAAAATAAAATGAAAGGAATTACGAGCGGTGCGCTCTGTGTGGCAAGAGCCAGGACAACAAATTTGTGCGTTATTTTAAACCTCCTAATTGTCAAGTGAAGCGACAACTCTTCGCGTGTGTGCGAACACCATTTTAGTGGCAGTGACTTTATTTGTTGCCCATCACAGCCGAGTATTTCCAAGCGGACGCGTTTGTTCCCAGGTGCAGTACCTCTACCATACAATTCCTCAGTGCTTGAGTTATCTGAAGTGTCGGCGGTTCCTGAGGTGTATGCGGGGACGAAGTTAGCTGTTGATGCACAGACCCAAACTGAGTAAGTCTGCCATAAACAAGCACGACATTAACATATACATATAAGCAAATGCTCCGCGAACACCATGATACAATTTCGTTCCACTAAATTTACCGCTTTAGATCACCATTTACTGTTATAAATTCGACGTTCTGGTTCTTAACATCCCTTTTCCTTTTTTCATAATGCCATATGAAAAGAGTCGTGTTTTTATTATTATTATTATTATTTATTGATGAAATATAAAATATTGCACCAACATTACTAGCACACTAGCTGCTGAGGCCTACGGTAGCTGGATTTATCATACGGAAATTAAGCATTACTGAATATGAAGAGAAAATCTCCCACTCATATACATACATGGATAGACCAAATTTCAAATGGTGGTATGATAAAACCAAAACCAGAATTCCTTGTGGACATAAAGAAATTGGAAGTAATTTTTAATAAATTTAATGGAAAAGAAATTTCGCATTGCAAAAATTTAATAGCTGAATTATTGAAGTTAAGTTCCGATGTAAATTTAGAAGAAAGAATCAAAAATTTTTTTTAACTGTCGAATATACTCTAGAATTAATTATTTGAATAAAAAAATAAATGCTCAAAAACATTGGGCTAATAAAAATAAGAAAATTGCCAAAACGGTTTTATAAATAATTGTGTTTCATTTAGTGTGTAATTTTGAGTAAGTATGCATTTCCACATTTACACTAAAAGAAAATACAAAAACTAAAATGAAGCCGATTTTAATGTGATTTTAAATATTTTCATATTTACAAAAACTTTCATTTCATAGATATTGAATTTTATCAAATATGGTACATGCATAACAAAGGGTTAATTTCTTTGTTTACGTTTTTTGACATTACAGTCAGGTATGAGAGAGCTCGACTGAATTGTCACTTCTACCTTGTTGAATATGCCTTGGGTACTAGATATTTTTGTCTCTACAATAGTACATTAGAATGTCAGCCAATACGAAATGGCATAACTTTAGGATGTCAACAAAACGAAATGACAAAAATGATCCCCTACCTATTTTCTTTCGTTTTGACAGTACTAAAAAGCCACAGTATACAGTAAACCAGCCATTGACAATATGCTTATTTGAAAATTAATACATGAAATATTGTGCATGTGTAGGATTTTTTTTGATATATTCGAAATGTAAATTTAAACAGCAAAATTCATAAAAAACATAATAATAAAACAAAAGTATTGTTAACTACTACATGGCAGGTGGGCGTAGTTATTGACAGATTTCGCCAAAATTTAATTCTAACCTAAACTATACCAAAAGCAACTTCGGCACCGACTTTCGTTAAAATATCTCAATTTTGTTCGAGTGAGCGTATTTACAAACAGACACGGCTGAACCAATTCTTATCGTCATCGATGATCGATGTGACCATTTTCCAAAGTCAGCCCTTATTCATTCAATTATTCACTCAAAGTTGTGTCCGGAACGCGGTATGACTTATGTAGGAACTACATCCGGTCACAATCGCTAACGCTTCACTCCTGATTTTCTTGGAATTTTATTTTTCCCGTTATTTTATTTTATGTGACTATAAGATATTTTTCACTATAAGAAAATATTAAATTTGATTTCATTTGGGTTAACGAAAACGACAACTGTAAAAAAATATCAACCAATACATTCAAACAAATTGTCAAATAAGCATATTTACATTTTTTGTTTTGCCTATCTGGATTACTGTATACTGTGTAAAAAGCAATAAGAAAATACACGGGATTTTTACTTGCGCCTTGTGCCGAAAATTCTAAATTATCAAAACGTATTTGTATGTGAAACCTTTTTTCATAAAAAAACGATTGACACCCGAACTTTGTAGCGTTCGCTAAACTCAGGAGCATGGCGCAATAAACAGCTGAAGTAATAAAACCGCTTTCCCGCTGTATGTTCTGTCATTCGGCTATCTGAGTGATTCCCAAAGTGGTCCAGGTGTCCACGGGAGACTCGACAAGGTTCTACGTTGGCATGAAAAAAATATGGGGGTCCCCGAGCTGTAAGTGGGGGTCCACGAAAATTCATCTGGTTTCGATAGTAAATAACCAAAATGGTTGCTTCATAGCCTATTTATTTAACTTTAATTTTTTTGAGTGGTGTATAGTGCTCT